CTTCAATGGTCTTTTCTCTTTATGTCATCGATTCTACTTCATCTCACTTCTGCATCATCATCATCATCATCATTCTCATCTTCCTCTTTCATCTTTTATTCTCGTTTCATCCTCTTCTTAGATCCACAGGATTGTACTACCTACACTCGCCTTTCAAAGTGACATAGTTTTTCATCCTCATCTTTTATCATTATAACTCTTTGTTTCTTTCTTTTCATCATCTTTTCACTCTCCCGATCTATTTGTCATATATATTACTGGAAAAACTGTCTATCCTTGCATTTGCTGATGGTGATGAGGATGAAAACTGTTTACAAGATAATGTTAATGTTGAAGGAGTAAAAAAAGATGAGGATAACATTGAATGTCAAATAATGTAAAAGATTAAAGTGAAAAAAGCACCAGGAAAACGTTAGCAAGAGGTTTACTTGAGCGAAAGGATGAAGATGATGAAAAGTCAAGAAAATCATGTAACCATTTTTTCATCTTACATTTCATCTTGATCCTCATCATCATTTTCCACCCTCTGACTTTACTAGAAACTAATATCAAACAAAATATTAATCTTAAGCCACTTTGACCGGATTATAACGGATTTTAGACAGATTATCATTTGAACAATTGTTTCGAATCAGCAATTCGACATTTTTATTTTCGACTTTATCTAAATCATTGTTTTCTTTTTCCTATTGAATGCAAACTATTTGATGACGGGAAATCTCATCTTCCTCATCTTCCTCATCTCCGTTCACTTTTCATCTTTTTCCTCATCTTTTCCACCTTACACTGTTTTCGCCTTTTTTTCCTCTTCCTCTTCCTCATCACCACCACCACCCTCCATATCCAATCCATTTTACGAGATTGATTTTGAAAAGACTATTTTTTCATCCATATCATCATCTCCCTCCCCCTTCATCTTGATCCATCTTTTATCCTTTTGTATTGAAAATAATATTACAAGGTAGATTTAATGTGGAACACAAAAAAAAGGTTCTAACTTGGCCTCGAACTTGTATTTTCGCCCTTCGAAGGCTCCTATTCATCTCCTGCACCATGTGTAACAAAAAATCCCTGTACATTTGATCCTCATCTACATCCCACTCACCTCCCTCTTCCCAGTCATTTACATTCAACTTTGTTTTTCTGCTTCTTCATCTCTGACCTTTCACTTTTTCAAGCCAACAATAATTGTAACAATTAACTAGATCAATCAGAATAAATTTTCAATGTCAATACATAATCAATTCAGTTAAAGTTAACTATTTTAACTTAGATTATATTATTGTCCAGGTTAATCAATCAATGTCCTTGTTTTAAGGTTAAATGTTGATCAGATAGAATTGATTTTCTTCATCTGATAACCTGATGAAATCAGCTGAACAATAGAAATTAAGTTACGATTTAAATGGTGATGGCCAACAATTAATAAATCCTTACAAGAGCTGATGTTAATTGTTATCAGTTAGCTGAGATCACCTTTTGAATTAAAAGTAATAAAAGGATTGATGTTAAATTAAATCATTTCCTTGATAAATGAACGAAGCTCGTCAAGTTAATCATGGAAATAAATGAATCCTTTCAACTGAATTACTTGAAAGTTGTGAATAGAAATCAGAATGTCCAGTTGCAAGTCTCGTGTCTTGGTTAATTCATCTTCATCTTCAACATAAAACCTTTTCCTAATAAATGATGAAGATGCATATCATCATCATCATCTTCATTTACTGTTTATCAAACCAAAAAAAAAAATAAACAATTTCTGTTACCTCATTGATTTTTGCTTAAAGATTGATTTACTTTAGAGATCAGTTTAACCGTAATTTTATGGAAGAGAGAAGATGAAGATGAAAAAGAAGCTGTCTCTCTCTCTCTCTCTCTCTCTCTTCTGCATCACTGATCCTCATCTCCATCCTCATCCTTTTGCATTGTTGTTGTTGGTTGATGTTATTAAATCAAATCTAAGGCAACACTTGTTGATGATGAAAACTTTTCACTTTCATTTTATTTGGTATCTTCTTATGATTTTTGATTGTTATCAGACAAATAACGGTAACGGTAACTTCCGGATTCAGCTGATACCTTTGCCTTTTACAAACTGAATCAACAATATGTTTGATATCAGCAAATGAATCTTTTCAATCTATTCAAGTATAAAGTTTATCATTTGCATCTTCATCATAATCCATCCAGTCTGTTTCATTGAATAACAAATGAAGTGATGATGATGATGATTACTATGGTGATGAAAATTCAAATGATGATTAAGATTAAAATTGTTACTCTAATAATAAAAATGTTATATTAGATTCAAATTCTTATTCAATAAATGTTATTAACTCTGTTTCCCCTCAAATTCAATGGATAACAGTTCAGGGTGAAATTCTGGAAGCAGGAAATTTGCTCTAAGTGAGATTTGTTTTCATTCTTGTTTTTCATCATCATGATCCATTTTTTTCGCTTCATGATGATAATCTTAATGCTAACAGCTTTTACCATTTTCATTAGATTTTCGTATTATTTCAATCTCTTGTATTATTAGAAATGAAGCTCACCAACTTTTTCTCATCATCATGAAAAATGCTGAACAAAAAAACGCAAAAAAAAAATAATGAGAAAGAAGAAAAATAAGAGATTCGAAATGAACCTTACATGGTAAATGTCACTTTCTTCTTCATCTTCATAGTTACAGTTTTTTTTTCTAACAAGACTCGAGATTTTTTCTTCCTCATCACTTTTTTACTATAATATACACAACACACACTCAGAATGTTGGGTAAGAGGGAAAATATCGTGAAACAAAAGCTAAATAAAAGATGAAGATGAGGAAAAAGATGCTGACGATGAAAATGAAGATGAGGATGAAGAAAAAGATTACCACAAAGTCTGTTGCACCTCCTTTCATCATCTTCCAAGCTCCTCCCTTTCATCGTATTCTATCCTATCTTTTCCTCTCTCTCTCTCCTCCTTTTTCTTGTCTGCTCATCCTCTTTTTCATCATCTTCGTCCGCATCTTCATCATACTCACAGTTTTACCTTTATCATCTATTATTGTTACTTTCTTAAGATGATAAAAAAAGTTTCTCTCTCTCTCTCTCTCTCTCTCTCTGTTAATGCCTTCAAGCATCATCATCATCCTCATTCTCCTCTTGATCCTCATCATTGTCATCTTCAAAAGTCAAATTATTTTTTTCTTTTTGATTACCTTGGCTTATTATCATCTTCCTTAAGTATTAAGACAATATAAGTGATGAAATTATCTTAAATTATGATTAAATTACTATCAAGTATCAATTCAATGATTAACTATCAACTTTAGTTAAGCGAGTTTGTTTTTTTTAAATGAAAAAAAAATCCAAAGTTAATCTGATGAGTTTTTTAACTTGTTAATGATGATTGATTGATAAATAATTTATGATTAGAAATAAATTGTCTGTTCAATAATCAGGAATGTTAATAGTAACAATTTAACTACTCACTTGTCTATTTATATTATCTATGGGTGATGAGGACAATAAAAATTCATCTCGATGCTAATTAACCATGAAAATGATTCAATAACAAGACTGGATGAATAAGATATGAAAAAGAAACAATTTTTATCAATTGATTTATTAGTTTAATTGTTGCTGTTTGTGTGTATTCATTATTCAGAGTAACGAGCACTTAATAGATAATTTCAGGGAGACTTTCGAAACCATGAAGTTCCGATGAACATTTTGTAACAGTCCAGAGAAGATGAAGATGAGAAAAGAACCTGACCCAATCTAAAAGATCGTAAATACCATCGATATTGATGCTTCCAATTCTCATCATGTTATTGCCGAATTTCATTTTTTTCTCTTTCATCTTCACTTTGGTATTTTCTTCTTCTTTATTTTCAGTCATTCCTATCATTCTCTTTCTCTTTGCACCTCATCTTTATCTTCCATCATCATCTGAATCTTTCACCGAGCAAAAATTACATTGAGATCTTAAAGGTTTCATATTGAGAGGAACAAACAAAAGGAGCATCAAAAACCTATAGAACTGAAGATGAGAGGGAGAAAAAGATGAGGATAAAAAGAGAAAAGATGAAAGATGCTGAAGGGAAGAAGGAGGAGAGTGAGGAGGTGGAAAAGATGAGGAAAAGGAGGAATAAGATGAGAAGGGAAGGAGAATAGTTTTCAAGAAAAAATAGTCAACAGCTCAAGGTAAGAAGATGAAAAATCGGAAGTCATTGATGAGAATTTCAAACAAATGATAAAGATGAAAAGGTGACAATTTAAGTGATGAAATAGTAACTTCACCCAGGTTCTTGCACACACCTTAATCATGTTTTCATTTTCATGGGTTGATTGTTGTAACTTTAGAGTAAACTAATTGTGATTTTAATCATTCTCATCAATGGTTAAATTGTCTTTCGATTGCCATTCAAATTGTCACAAAAGTGGATAAAATATTATTTATTGTTATTTGTTTATCAATTTATTGAACAATTGAAAAATGAGCCAATAAATTGAGGTTAAATTGTAATAAATCTGTTAATCATAACAACTGTTAGAGTTTAAATCATTTACAATCATCTTGAAGCATTTAGAACAATTTAATATTCATATTATTCATATTCGAGATAATCTTGATTCTTATATTTTATCAATAGTTTATCTCAATTTAGTTTACTGTTAGTTGGTCACAGAATTTTACTCAACAAGTGAACTACAAAAAACTCAAGGCGAAGGTTATCAAAAATGAATACAGAAATATAATGTTGATATGAATCATTTTGAATGTTAATTAAAAGATAATTAAATGAAACAAAACCAGGAAGAAAGTGTTAGCGGGAAAATATGAAAATCTTATAACTTATCCTTCACTTTGTTTCAATCTTAATATTTGGATTCTAGAATATGATTTTACATCAATGAAGGATCAATTTAATTGCTTTGGATTAGGATAATGTATTGTTGTCTTGATTGTCATTTAATTGTTTCTTTTGTTTTTGTCATTTAATTGTCAACCAGATTGTATGGTGCCAAATGTACAGGATGTTGTGAAAAAATATCTTCAAGTGAAATGGTTATGAGAGCTTTGGATTCAATATTTCACCTTGATTGTTTCACTTGCGTTGATTGTGGTAAACAATTAAAAAAAGGAGATCAATATGTATTCAGATCGGGTAGATTATTTTGTCGGCCTGATTTCGAGAAAGAATTAGCAATTCTTCAAATGTCCACACAAACAAGTAAGTAAACAACAATTAACTGTAATCAACACGAGTGTCAAACTCAATTAATTATGAAATCTCCCAATTGATTAATCGAGAGTCCAATCAGAATATTGATAAAAATGAGTCAACATTATTGAATGACAATTAATTTTAACTAGAGAATCGCAATGATCAACTATCAACCTCCCATCGCTATGCAAATTTCACAATCAGTTGATTGTTATCATCAACCTTATGCACTTTTTTTAGTAATTGTTTCCGTTGATTGATTAATATAATTGTTCATTGATTTGTTTATCACTCTGTTTGTGGTATCCTTGCCTCGTGCCTGAAAACATCGTGTTGTTGCTGATTGTAGACACAAAAAGTGGCCTAAGATCAAATGCCGATCATGGTAATAAAAAGGCGTCCGGGTTAAATTGTCATGAGATAAATTGACTTAAATGATAACCATTATCATATTATTTAATCACCATTATTATGGTTATGGTTAAATAACAGTGTTTATTATCAAGATAAACTACTGGCTTAATCAGAAAAACTATCAGATTAACGGTAAATGTAAGATGAGCCAATAAATCAGGTCACATGGGGTCTCAGGGTTATTATTGTTGAGTAAATATCGCACGTGATCTGAAACAATTAATTGTTATCTTTTTATGTTTCATGTTGATGTTAAGGATCAACATCAGCATAATGATCATAATGATTAACCGTTTATTTAATAATGAGAAAAGGCCAGTCAATGGTTTGCTAATCAATTGGGGTTTTCATCAGCATTTTAATCATAAATTGATGATGATGATTGGAGTTTTAATTGTTTAACTTTAATTTCTTTCAAAGGTGAAAATGCTGTTGTGCCAAATAATAATCAAAATAGTCCAATACCAAGCGGTCAAGGGATTCTTCAAACGGTTTCTGGATCGACAACGACAACTACAGTGTCCACTACGAATTTAGTTAATCAACGAACTGAGAGTCGACATGAAGGACGACATGATGGTAGACACGATGGACGCCGAGGACCTAAAAGGCCTCGAACCATATTAACTACAGCTCAACGTCGAGCCTTTAAAGCCTCATTCGAAGTTAGTCAAAAGCCTTGTCGAAAAGTAAGTCAATCAAATTGGTGGAAAATTTAATCAATCAATTAATCTTGTTGTTAATTGTTGAACTATTGATACTTTTCAAAGGTTCGAGAATCGCTTGCTAAGGAAACAGGATTAAGTGTACGAATAGTCCAAGTTTGGTTTCAAAATCAGAGAGCAAAAGTGAGTTCTGAGTTTTAATCGCTAATCTTTAATTATCTTTGTTTTTGTGTTTATCTTATGGATTAACTTTTATCGATTAGTTTAGTTGACAATTTGTTTTATCTCTCATATTTTTTTTCCTGTTTAGTTGAAAAAAATTCAACGTAAACAGCAACAATTAGCATCACAATCACACCAACAATCACACAATGGTGAAGGAGATAAATCGTCTCTCGATAAGATGTCACCTTATTCAAGATTAGGACATTCAGGCTCTGGTCATTTAACTGATTCCTCATCCATCGATTCACCATCAACCTTTTCAGTAGCACCAATTCAATACTTATCACATAGTCCTGATGATGGTAAGTCAATCAATTTCAATTTCAATCTCAAATAAAATTAATTCAAACACTTGGATTAACGGTAATAAGCAACAATCATCATGTTGAAGAATTGATTTTTAGTAATCAGTTTCTTTTCAGATGATCAGTAAACCCAAATAGATTGACCACTGACCTAATTCATTGTTGACCTTTTATCGTTATCATTGTTTATCCATTGAAACATTAACACCTTCATTAACTTTACCATCATTATCATGATTGATTTCAGACTCTTATTATTCACCTCACGGAGAAGGCTATTCAAAGGGAGATCTCGGGATGGACAGTGATGCGAGTTTAGGTGGATTAGATGATGTCTTACATGGAAATGGAGCAAATAGTAATGGAGGTGATGAGAGTCTCTCTTCATCACATCACCCAATTCACCCTCACCCTCTTTCTCAAGCACAACTTATTTCTAATCATCCACATCACCATCACCACCATCATCATCACAACTCTCATCAGGGATCATCATCTTCAATGGATAATAATAGTAATAATAACAATAATGGAAATAGTTTATTCGGCTCATCAATGACTCCCATTGACAGACTATGTTCAATGTCAAATTCGTATTTCAATTCATCAACTGAATGTGAATGCCTTGGACCAACTAACTAGGAAAAGGATAAAATCATTTGCATTGAGATTAACGACAATTCAGATCAATGTTTACCTGTTGCAATCTTCTCAACGAGTGACCACGCAAATACTTTTGACCACACAAATTGAAGCTTCAAACAAAACTGGAAAGTTGCTCAGTAACTAATTTTGTAAAAATAATATAATTGAACAATTAAAATCTTAATTAGTAAGACTAAAAAGATTCGAGTTTGATTTGAGAAAGAAAACTTTTTTCCTACTTCGATATGACACCAATATGAGAGAAAGAGAGAGAGAGAGTTGATAAAACTTGGAAGATTTAATTTAATTCAATGAACATCATCTTATCATCATTATCATCTTCTTCATCTCTATCATCATTATCTTGATTGTCATCTAAACAAGAGACACATTCACTATAACTTCCGGGGCAAGTTAACGATTCAAGAAAGAACCTGGATTATGATCATCATCCATCATCATCATAACCCCATGTTGATGTAATTCAGATCACTTCTCATCATCAGCATCATCTTTTATCATCATCTCATCATTCTCACTTTCTTTCTCATCCTATTTTCTGAAACTTTTTTTCTTCCCACTATCAACTATCATCACCATCTTCATCCCCTTACAATGTTTATAGGATCATGATAATATTTTCATGATCATCATGATCATGATCATCTTCATCTTCATCATCTCAAAGTTTCTACTTATCCCGCTGAGGAGAAACCTGATCAATTCCGTTAACACCATGATGATGATCAACCATCATCACCATCACCAAGATTCAAGGCAAACTATCAACAATGAGATTTAAATTCATTTATAAGATGGATATAAAAAAAGTTCAGCCTGATCGATAAAATTGAATCAAGTTTCCAAGACAATTAAATCAGAACTAATTTAAAATTTAACTGTGTAAATTGTATCCTTGTATTTATATATAAAATCTTGATTTTGCTGACAAACAAAACTTGATCAAATTGGACAGTTAAATTAATCATAATCCTTAATCATTGATATCAAAACAATTTGTAAATAATTTTGTTTATTAACAATTACAATACAATATATATAAACAAACATAAAATTAACTGAATTAACTTTCATCTCAATTATGTATCACTCTTAACACTCTTGATAAATTGTGATAATGTTAATTGTTTCATATTGATCTTAATTAACTTTCATCTTTGTTTATGTTTCCACTATTTTTTTCATCCTCATCTCTTTTTGTTATGATAAGATGATGACAACTTTGGTAAGACAAATGGGTTAGTGTGAAAAAAGTTGAATGTTAACTGTCAATGTTGAAGACTTTAGGATGATTAAGAGGATGATAAGAGGAGGAGGAAGAGGAAATAGAAGGGAGGAAAACGATGAGAGAGAGAGAGAAGAGAAAACTTCATGACTATTTTTTATTAATAGTTGTTCCTGTAACCTCCTCCACCTCCTCTTGCATAAGATCAATGAGATGATGATGATGATGATGACTGGGATGAGGATAATGATGCTAAGGATGAGGATGGAAAAAATTATGAACACAATTTAAGATCCATTTGAAAAACCTGTTGTACAAATGATGTTCAAGGTATTAACTGTTTTTTTTGTTGATACAAAAAAAAATACAAACAAGAGATGATGATGGTAATGATGAGGATGCTAAGTTACTTGTATCATCTCCTCCGATACTATGATGTTAACCAATATCTTGATGGAAAAAGTTATAATGCAATAAGTTATTTTTTTATTCGAGAAAAAAATTCATCATCAATTTATTATTCTAGTGATGCTTTTGTTTTTATTATCATTATCAGCATCATAAACTATCATTACAATAAGGAGTGAGAGATCAAGTTGATGATAATGATGGTAGATTATCATTGCTGTTAATCAAAATGCTTTCGTATTATTATTCATAAAAGTTTTTATTGTTTTTCTGCTCTTTGCTGGAACAGGTAACATGAATGAACAAATATGATAAAGATTCAAGTGATCATCTTAACTGTAGACACTTTTTTTTGATTTTCTCTGATTGTTGAATGTTAGTTTTGCTTGATCGACACTGAAGAGGTCAGCAAGTAACCCATTGAATGATGCAATATCCTCTGAATATCATCATCATCATCATTATTAGTATCCGCATCTTTGAATAGCCAGTGACAAATTATGCATCCACGTTTTGCTTGTCATACTATTTATCTCATTGAATTAACAATAAAGGTTAGTAAGGACAAAATTGTCTATACAAAAGCACTTATTCTGACCTCATTTCATCTTTTCTCATCATTATCATCATCAACACCTTTCTCTCTCACTCTCACTCGATCGCTCTCTTTAAATCTTAACTCCAACTTCATCCTTGGTAACTATCAGGCAACAATTGAATATCCACTTTCCATCTCTTCAACTTCACTTCCAATAGAACACTAATCACAGTTATCCAAATATAATCCATAGAACTTTTTTCTCATCCTTATCCTCATCATCAACAATCATGATGAATACTCATCATCATCTTCAAATCTCTCATTATTATCACTTTATCCATCATTAAATCACCAATGGTCCAAATCATTTATTTAAGTTTCTTCCTCTGTTAACATAACCATAACATTTTGTCCATTGCAATTGATTTCATTTTTAACTTTAATCATTTGGTTAAAGTTTTTTGATTGTTAATCTAAAAAATAACGAGCAGATTTCCACATCCATCGTCCTTATTTAGAACTGATTTTGTAATAACAAAATGTTTGATTACTTTACCTTTGACCTTGAAGATTCTTTAGTCTTATTAGGTCAGTTTATTAATCAGTTTGATGGGTCATTTGATTTTTAAATTTGATTTCGCTCATAGGAATGATAGATTGATATCCGTGAGAACTTCATTTATCATTGGACTTATAAATTAATTCTGTAAAATTAGTTGGTAAACACAAGCAAAATAATTACCTAAAGGATTGAACGAGTGTCCGTTCAGATCAATCCACCTTTTATCATTTATTGACCTTAGACTATTGAGGGTCAAAAGAGAGTCAAAGTCAAACAGAAGCATCATTATCATTCAATTTGATCGAAATTGACCATTTTCGACTACTGACCTCAACTTTAATCATTGTTGGTCATTATGACCCACCAAGAGATAGTCTTTATTGCAAATTATTATACATTTTGCTCCTAATCAAACAACTTTGCAGTATTGTCACATTAAAGGACAAATAATCTGAATGAGCCTTTGACCAGAACAACTTTAGATAGAGTGAGATAATTTAGGTGGGAGCAAAGAGTAAAGGAGAAGAGACCTCAGTCTTATGAGAAGAGAGAGAGCGAGAGAGAGAGAGAGAGAGAGAGAGAGAGAGAGAGTTGCAAAACATTTGGATCAGCTGATTACACTTTTTCTATGGAAAGGACACAAACAGCAAATATTCGTGGGTTTATTCGGTTTAATTGGTTCTAGAATTCACGTTTCGATTGATTTGAGAGGATAAATTTTCATATTTCAGTCTTTTTTTTTTACTAAATTGGTTTGACTAAAAAATAAATTAGATTGTTACAGTTAATCCAGTTTCACTTTGATTTGTTAGAAATCTGGTGAAACTCCTTATGCCATCTATTGAAAGATCAAAGCAACAGTTTCAATTTTTATAAACATTTACAATGAAAATATCGTCGATTTGAAATCAGATAATTATTACATTTATTTAAGATGTTTGGCCTCTTCTTTTGAATCTATCTCTTCGTTGACTCTTTTCTGAGTAGATAAATTTCTGGGAGTATAACTGGAACTGGAACTGCGCTTCGATTATAATTATATGCAGGCGATGGTGATGATAGTTTTCCTCTTGGTAAACTGATTGTGTAGCTCTGTGTTACTTCAGTCATTGTGTGTTTGTCCCCGTCAAGTTTTTCTCGAAGTCTCTTGGCCGGGTCAGATGGAAGTGCGAATGTCGCTAAGAAATCTGAAAATTGAAAGAATTGCTCATTAAATTGATGTGATAATTTCTCTTCTTCTGACTAAGTTCATGAGTTTAGTTTAATTGTTCATGTGATGATAATCTGACAATTTATCAGCTGATCAGTGGTCTTGATTTGTAACCATGAAAAAGCTCATGCTACGCTATGATTACTCATCAGCTGATCAATCAAGATAATTAAGCGTTAATTTTATTTGAACAATTGAAATTATCAATAATTACCCATAAAAGCACAGAAACTGATTGCATAGATCATTCCGGTCCAACCAAGATATTCAGTTAAATATTGTGACCCTAAGGCACCACCAACATCAGCGATAACCTATTGAATAATATAAGTGAAAAGGTGAAAAAGTGCCAAAAGCAAGTCCAGAAATGACCTTAACTTACCGTTGAGACATAGACCAGCCCAATATTTATCGATGCATGTTTTTCACCGAAAATATCAGTGACCGCCGATGGCATGAGCGCATATTGTGATCCAATGATACCCAAAGCCGCGACAACAGCAACCGAGTAAACGAGTGGATGTGCCATCGATGTGAACGGAAGTGAAGCAATCAAAATGGTTGAAAGTGCACTCAGAGGTAAACAGCAAACCTTTTAATTGTAATTTTCTTGATTAGTCAGATGAAGAAACAATTAAAAGTAAATCAATTACCTTGTAACTAAAAATGTCTTTAACGTAGCCCATAAAGAGACGACAAAATGTATTGGACAGTCCGGCACAAGCTCCAATAGTTGATAACATGAGGTCATTATGGATAAATGTTTGACCAAAGGGCTTAATCAATAAAATTGTAGAATCAGAAAAGGACAGTTAACAAATCAATTGATTTAAATGATTTCAATTAACTTAAAATACTTAACCTTAAAAAAAGTATATAAAATGTTTAATGTAACCTTGCAATCAATTGGCTCACTCTGATTGCTATTAAATGCTTAATTACAATTGTGAACAAGGTTAATTGTTCAATTTTCAAGCTTAAATCACATTGAATTTAATATGCAATTGAATTTCGTTAACAATTACCAAAGCAGCGTAATGATGACTTGAAATTTACAATAATTAACTAAAGCTCGGGAAAATCCGTCAATCACTTTAAAGAAATACAATTAATTCAATTTTCCTATTTGCAAGCCTTGACTGATTGTTGATTAAACTACAGTTAAAAATAATTATTGGCTATTCACCAGTAATCAATCCTGATCAAAAATCAACAACAGTTAAATTGTTACAAGAAAAAGTTAAATTTATTGATAATAATGTTTTTTTTTCCTCGTGTTAACAAATAAAACTGAAAAATTGATTGATTGATTAACTGTTAAGTTGATTGATTGAGTAAACTAAATATTAATTTCAGGATATTGGATTAACAATTTAACAATTTTAATTCAAATATCCGCAAGGTATAACAATCAACTCCTTTTGCTAATCAATACATTAATCACAAGTATGATTAGGAGATTAAAATTCAATTTGAAAATAATTTTACTCGCTAAGTGTGATTGTAACTATTGATTGTCTATTAAAAGTAAGTAATTAGAGATAATTAAAATCTTACCTTGTAAACAAAGAGAAGATAAAAAAATACAAGTTCGGTTAACATGATTTTTATGGATAAAATTAGAAACTCGAAAGTTCTAACGGCTTGGGAAGGTGTGAGGCCATCGTCGAATCGGTAACTAGAAAGTTTATCTGGATTAGAATCTAAATTGCCTGAGGCTTTCTGTGGAGAAGACAATTAAGGGAAGAGAGAGAGAGATTATTATAAGCAGCAATTAAAATTTCATAATAATAAATTTTGTCTGAGAATTAATGAAAACAAAACGTAACATTGTTTGGGTTCATTGAATTTCATTAGTGAGTTGAAACCATTGGAATTGAAATCATGAGATAACATGAAAATCATATGATTGCAATGATGATTTACCTTTTCTGATTCAATATCTTCAGCTGAAGGTGCAGGATAAAGTAACGCAGTGCCAAGGGCAAACATGAACATGGTCACTAGTCCTTGAAATATAAGTGAATCTTTGGTTCGCTCCAATACTAAGGTATCGGTGAAATAACTAATGAAAATAATAATTGGAAACTAATATTAGCATGATGCTGGAGAGGGATAACTGATGACCAGTACACACCCTTTCATGTCAGGTGGGATATTCAAGGGATTGATTTGTGTGGTGATCAAGGGAGTCCAAGCGGTTGGTGCAAATGCCATCGATGCACAAGCGATTCCAGTCACGAGACCTTTTTTTTCTGGGAACCACTGAAAGGATAAAAATAAAATATTATTGTAGCGTAAAAACAATTTGATTGATTTCGCAATCAACTACAATTACGATTGCAATCCTACCTTGTTAATCTCAACTAATGGTCCTGTGTATGCAACACCACATGACAGTAAGAAACTCCCGCCGTAACATATTAGCACGAGAAGGAAACTGTGATCCAAAGCGAAATAAGTTCCAATTATACCGCCACTTTAACCATTGAAAATAAGAGTTAAGAATAAGATTAAGACTGATGAATGATTATAATCGATTAACAATTGGTTCGATTAAATCGAACCATTGAAAATTTGAACTTTTTCTCTTCCATTTCAAATCCATAGATGTCACTCAGTTCTCGATAACCTTAAACCAGGAACCAATGATTTCCAGTCTCATGTATTTCACATGTAAATATTTAACTAATTGACGTTACATGATTAACATGAATGGGTGATTCAATTGTGATCAGCGATTGAAATTTCAAGTTTTCACAGTTAAATCAAAGTTAATTGAAATAACCTTGATCGATAATTGTTATTAATAGACTGAGGTCTTATAAAGAGTAAGATGATGCTGGTGAAAATATGATGTATCTCAAATGTAATTCATATCATCATCTCTTTTGAGATGATGACAAAGTAATATTGGTAATTAATGTTAATTACTGTGAGAAGAGAAAAGTTTCAACAGCTGATAATGTCAATGATTAAGTCGATTGAAGTTTCATAAATCTAACCAATTCGAGCTGAAGCTCTCGGAGCTTAATCACTTCGTATTGATTATCTAATTCAACACTTAGATATGATCATCAACTAATCATCTGATCATTTGTAATCTGATCAATATCATTTCTTTGATTAGAACATAATCTTTGACTATCTCGAACCATTTACCCGTTGATTACAGGGGATTTTGTTAGATTAACAAGTTCGATAAAGTTTAGTTCTTCCCTTTTTTCTCGGTTGATTAAAAAATCTGCATCTCGATCTAATCTCGAACTAATTAATTAAACTAATGTTTCCATTTACACTGAGAACTTTTGGCCTTTCCTTAAATTCATTAATTTAATTGATGAGATTAATTTGTTTTATGTTTTAACTTATACTCCTTTGATTTTTTCTTCTTGATTACTTTTTCTAGATTAAGATGAGGATGATTATCGTCATCATGTATTCACATAAATTACATGAAACTGAATCGATATCACATTAAAAGGATTAACATGGTTATCGATTTCAATATTATGTATTTGATTTGATAATCAACGTGATTTAAAAACAAAAAAATCTTCAATTGATTATCGTTGATTAGGTTTAACATTTAATTGGTAATCAGGTTGATCTCGTATAATTTAACATCTCAATTGCATTGTAATTTAATCCTCAGGTAAATTAAAGATGGTTAATTGTGATGAAGATGATTATGATAACCAGTTAACCTTATTTAACCTTGTTGAAACTGTAAATTTTTTGTATTGCAATTACTATTAGGTGAGATAATTAGATTAAGGTAACTAAATTAACCAATTGGTTTGCTTTTGTACATTAATATATGAAAGATTTTATCATCTATTTGACAATTTGGAAGATGATTAAGATTAAGATGATGAATACGATGACTGATGGTCTTAATCTACTAACTGGACTTAATAAATTGTACAATAAAATCAGGAAGTTCTAAGTCATAAATTCAAGTTCGAGAGAAAGATTATCAAGATCGATTCGATGATGATTATGATTAAGGTTGAAAGGAAGACGATAATGATGATGATGGTCATCCAATGAAACTAAATGCTAATGACTGGATAAATGATGACCAGTGGCTAATGATTACGATTCCTTGACCTTATATCATTGGGAAATAGTTTCGATGATGAATTAATATTGTCCACAAGCTAATGATGATTAACCTTTCTTACTTTCTTATTAACATTACAACTTGATCAGTTGTATTTTTCCGTAGGCTACTGTTGATAACTTACCTTTGCAATAGTCCACCGAGTAGGCAAACACCACGTGCACCAATTTTTGAGTCTAACCAGCCGCCGAAAGGTAAGATAACAGCTGATAAACCGACTGCATAGAGAAACCAAACAGAGTCGGTCAAGGTCGCGTTTGAGCCCGTTTTAGCCCGAAGATAAGAGGTTAAATAGATCGCTGTGTTGCCCGAACTAAAGTAAAGTCCAATAGAAAAGTAGATTATCGAACAGCCGATGACAGATAAGATTCCTTTGGTTCGGCTCATGGTCGAGAGAGACTTCGAGATGAGATCGGAAAACTTTGGTTCAATTGGAATTGGTGAAAAAATAACTTATCATAAATAACAAATAATCACCAATTTAGTTGATTGTTTTGATGGTTTCACATTAATTTATTGTCACTGTCAAGATTAAATCAATTGTGTGATTGTTAATTGCTCTTGAAAAATAAATTGTATATAAAAAAAGTCACAAGGAAGTAGTTAAGTAATAATTAAATCACAATTTAATCACCATTGAAAATTTTAACTGGAAAATAATGAATGAGTGAGACACAATCAAGGATTGAAATTAAATTAAATTAAATTAAATCCAATTGAAGTAAATTAATGTCGACAAGATGAAGATCAAAATGAAATTAACTCACTCAGTATAAATCGTCAGCACTTTTCAACCAGAATTTATCAATAATCACCCTGATCATTTTCATCCTCATCGATATTTATAGTCAATGCTTTTGTTGAATGATAAACTCGAACTTGTTCAAATCGTTGTTACATAGGATAAAATGGGAGGGTCATTTTAATAATAAATACTGGACCTTGGGGACAATTAAGTTAACAATTAAATGGATATAAAAATAGATTCTCTATTTGAAAAGGTAAGAGAACGAAAAAGAAAAGTTTTGATAAACAAAAAGTTCTATTGGATAAGAAAAACTTTTTTTCTCGAAGTTCAATATTTACTATTTTATTTTTCTATTCTAAATTTTTCTGTACTAACCCAAGTTAAGTTGTTGATTTAGTAAATGTAAAACTATTAATGAAGTTGGAAAATAGTTAATTATGATTTAGTTGATGATAATTATTATCAATGCTGATTAACTACAAGTGGGGAAATCATTTTCTCTCATGTAGTTACAATCAGTGATTAAATTTGCTATAAATAATGTTGATTAATCAATAGGAGGAGGTGATGGTGGAGGAGTTTATTTAATCGCTCAAGGATATAAGGAAGGGCGATTAAGATTAAATTGTGTAAGAATATAATTAGATTGAATTTCACAATTAATGGGTCAAGATTAACGACCATCGTCATCGCAGTGATTAGACGTTTATGAGCTCAATACACCAATTACTGATAGCCAACAATTTATGATGTAACAATAGAAAGATATTAAATAGATAATTCGTTTATGATGATGTTTAATTGTTACAATTTAGCAAATGTTAACAATTAGATAAGAAAACAAGTGTTCCTTTCTGATTAATCAAAGACAAAACTAGCAAAAGGTTTCAATTGAACCAGAAAATTAAGCCAATTGATTGAATCTAACAATTAATTTGACCTCCGGTTCAGTTCAATTCGTAGCTCATAAGAGCCATGAAAACTTCCGTATTCACCTTGAATTCCTAATTGTTACTCGAATCGTTTACTTAATATTGCAATTCAATTAATATTTTCAGTCGACACATCAACGATACTGATGAGATATTAATAAATTGATTTTCTTTTTGTTTTATACTATTATGTTGTTTAATTGGTGAAAATTTGTCCATGAAAATTTTGGGATAGAAAAATGAATAAATCACAAGTGAAGTTAATAGTTTGGTTTTTGTTCGTTTCGATGATATAATATTAACATAATGTTTCATATAATTTTTGATATCATTTATGAAAGAGTTTGTTGTTTCCGTGTTACTTTAAAACTACTTGGGTCATTCTCCCTCTGTGAGCTTTGGGAAGTGTCACCAAGGTTAATGATGATATTTTTATATACGACACCGGAAGAAGGAGATGATTCACCTCCTGAGCTTACTGATTCCTCGATAACACATGAATTGGCCCCACTGAGTAAACTTTCCTCACTGGCACGTACTTTGGCACTTGAAGTTGACATTGAGCTCGGACGTTTTCGCAAATTAGGACTAGAGATATTGGAGCCTAGAGAGAGAGAGAGAGAGAGAGAGAGAGAGAAATTGCAATGATGAGACATACAAATAGTTTGGATCCTTTTTTCATTGAAAACATACCTTTACGATCTAATCTTAAAGTGGTCAAATGTTGCCGACTGTTGTCTTGTTGTATCACATTGGACAGGACAGTATAGTTTGCTGACCATTGTGAATCTTGTGGATGTGGACCTGGGACTCTTGATGTGATTCCAAGGCCACTTAAACTATTATTACTATTGCTATTGGTTCCATTGAGATCTCTTTCTGTTGACCAAAGAGTTTGTTGTTGTTGGTCAAATCGATGTATTAGTGAGCTATTACTGCCATTTTGCTGCTTAACATACCGGTGAAAATCATTCTCACCACATTCATCACTGACCATTGGTCCACCATCACCATTAATTGATCTATTACAACCGCTGCTTTCATGAATTTCATTACGAGGTAAGCGATGCCTTAAATTCGGAAACCAGGTCTCAAGTAAATCATATGAAGTTTGAGCAGCACTTTCGACCATAACTCGTCGACTTTCCCGTTTTGCTGATTCGACAAATTCAGCGAACCCCGGAATCTTATTAACATCATCACCATAAGCTTGTTTTAACAATTGTACGAGCCGCATCTTCCCCGAGCTTGAGTTTTCAGATTCTTCGGCTATTTCCATGCCGCTCGATGAGCTTTGTCGAGGTGGTGGACGACCTGGTACTTAAAGGACAATAAAAATAAGTTATCGAAATGTCAATATAAAAATTTGAACGTCTTGTTTTGTGAACCTAAACTTACCTCGTCTATTTGTTTGTCTATCAAGTGCCTCAGCTGCTCGAACTGCTCGAATTTTTTGCTGAACATTGGCTTGGATCTTGTCTTGTTTACTTATCCGGAAACGTTCAAAAATATTGAAACTTGATCTCCTGTTTTCCGGTTTAACTGCTAAAAGAGATGAGGTTGATTTATCTGTCATCAGTGTTGATGGTTGATGATGACTTTTTGATGGTTCTGTTGATGCTGAATCTTTTTTCAAATGTTGATTGTAATGATGTTTCACTTCCAATGAATGATTCCTAATACAAGATAAATAGATCACATTAACAATTATTATGATAGAAAATGCAAAGTGACTAAAATTATAAAGGAAACTAATTCAGAGAGAAAAAAAATCAAACTTCAATTCCTGAAATATTTGGTTAGTCGATACATTAAATGTTTCATTTGAAATCACCGTAAGCGATTTAAAATGTTGCAGAATAATATTCAAAGCCAGGAAGGGACTCTGAAATTATCATGATCTTCAACCCTGTTTCTGAGAGAGGCAATAATCTGATGTTTGATTTGGATTGAGAAGAAGATGTAAATCGAGAAAACATGATATTTACCTCGGTGAATCAACAGAGAATTCTGATGTCGAATGTGATGAATGTCTTGAGATTCCAAGTGTTGGTACGTAGCCAATGTGACAACGCACATTTTTGGCGGTGGTGAAAAAAGATCGATTATTTTTCTCTGGTTTGAAAAGAATAATGTAAAGTTTGGGGAAGAAAAGTAGTACCAGTGCAACAAGAGCACTAAAAGAAATACAGAGACACATCGTTAGAACTTTGAGATCAGAGCCAAAGTAAATCGGGACAAAGGCGATCCAAATAACCAAAGTGGTGTACATGGTGAACCCAATGAATTTCGCCTCGTTAAAATTTTCTGGAACATTTCGAGTCTTTATTGCATAGACGGTACACATTGCAATTAGAAAAAAATCAAATCCAAGAGGTGCAATTATCCCGATTGAGGTTGTATTACAGACGAGAATGACCTTGTCCAACATTGGATAGTCAAGTTTAGAATCGGCTGGCTCACTAAACAGCATAAAACCAATGATCGCCGCCTCAATGAGTATCAAAATAATAGAGATAACAACTTGAGCTGAAGACGACATGAACCTTGGCTTCTTTGTGATGATGCGTTTCTTTGAGCCCGCTAAAATCCTTGCGATCCTGTTTGTTTTGGTCACCAGGGAAGCATAGATCACAGCAAAACTGAAACCCGGAAGTACCCTGGTCACGAAACAAGTTTCCTGAGTTGGCATAGCAACGAGAGCAAAAGTGGTCATATAACAAAGGTACATCCCCAATAATATCATGTATGAAAGCTCACGGGTTGAAGCCTTAACAACGGGTGTGTTGTTATGCTTAATGAACACAACCATGGTGAAAAAGGTCAACATTATGCCAAATAAAGCGATCGCAATAGCGACCAGAGAAGGTGTTTCAGTCCACTGAATATATTCAATTTCAATTTGGAAACATCCTGTTGTGAGAAAATTCATAAAATGTCCATAATTAGTATTCATGATAATCAGAATTCAAAATTTGATGATTGGTGCTTTTTTTGCTGTGAGAAAAATATCATAATAACAATTTTCTTAAAATTATTTAGTTGATTTTCACTCCATCTTTTACATAAAATCTGTTATTTCATCATGAAGTTCAGTTCAACTGAGATAACTTTAACATTCAATAAATAAAATATGTCAGAATAACTTTTATACTCTGATTTTGAATAATTGAATCATTCTGATTCCCATCAAAAAGGTTGATATTTATCAAGAAAAAGTGACGATATCGATTGACCAACAATCAGAAACCTAGAATTGAAATATTTCCAAAGATTCATGAAGATCTCTGAGTAGAAATCAGAGAACTAAAAGGATTCCAAAAGAGTGAAGAAAAAAGTTTCGAACTCATTGCAAAATAACTTCATCGATTTTCAATTAAATAACCGAGATCAGGTGAAGGAGAAACAGAAAGATTTCAAGAGTGGGAGAGGAAAAGGAGGTTTACTTTTATTTGTTCGATGGTTAAGAAGACAAAAAGTAAACAGTTTGATAAAAGCGAGAGAGAGAGAGAGAGGAGTAATAGATAAACATACTGAACTATATTCAGAACTTTGAAGATAAAACAATGGGAAAAGAGCATGAAACTTGAGAGGCAAAAAAAGGAAAATATTCTGACCAGAAATCCTTTTTATCTCTCTTTGACTTTGAAAATGTTTCAGTAAGTCAATGGGGGAAATAGGTAATGGACACTGGTCAGTCAGAATAATAACTGAGGTATAAAAAATAATAAATTTCTGGGGCCTTATTGTTATCTGTTTGACTGAATGGGAGAGCAAATTATCATTATCATTCAGTTTACACTCAACTCAGTAAGGGAAATTTATTAATGTTGACTTGATGCAGATAATTACGATGCTTGTTAGGTAAATAATATAAATAATATATTATAACGTTCAATTGTTTCAACAATCACAGGGAGTAAATGCTGGATATTGTTATTATCATGATTATTTGTTTTTTGCTTTACTCACAACAATGAATGTAAATGTCACCAGCATCCAATTTATTAGTCGTATAACATAATATCAAGGCTAATCGTTTAATTAGTCTGTTAATTAATTACCTGTTTGATTTTCATTCGGCCACCATCCGAGTGGACAGTTCTCACAGTTATATTCATCTCGTAAGAATTGATTTTTCTGGCAGGGAACACACACCCAACAGCATTTGACACTATCGCTTTGGATATTCTGAAAGAAATAAAAAAGAGAAACAAAAATATTCCAAAATCAGAGTTTTATTCAGAAACTTTCAGAATTATTTTCTCTCTTTCTTCCCAGCTGAATTTTAATCCATGTCAATAGCTTCAAGATAATAATTAATAATCCAAGTTAATAGTGAGTAGTTGTCGATATTTTGATCGATGATGATTGCGACTTGAACGAGAAGATAAAGTTGTTGTTCATCTCTTCCCCCTGACATAAACTGTTGATTGAACAATTTAATTTTCGAATTGACATTATCTTTGCATTAAGATGATATCCCATTATCGAATAAGCCGAGAAAGTGTTTCGTTTTTTGTTGAAAAGAAAATGTTCTCATGTAAATTGGTTTTCTTTCTGAAGATTAAGGTGATGATGATGATGCTGAGAAAGATAAATGAAAAGAAAGTGATGATGAATATTCACTTTCGTTATTCTCTCTCTTTCTCCATCATTGATCTTCATCCATCTCGGTTTCAGTTCATCAAGTATCACATTATCATTTTCATCGTCATCACCATCATGATTTTCAATATTGAACCGATGATATAAATAACTGTAAATACTATTAACATAAGCACAAACTTATTGTGACGATAAACAAGATATGATAATATCAGAAATATGATATTGCCATGAACGTTAGGAAATTTTATCACTTGATGATTAATTTGCTTCTAACTATTGACTTGGATTTTGATTGATTTAAATTGATTTCCGGTGTTTTCATCAATCAGAATTAGCAAATTGATCAACATATTTGACTTTTTTTCATGAGCAAAATTTCATCTCAAATATTATCATGAATTTTGAATGTTCATGATAAACAAACCACAATAAGTATTAAACACCAGTGGCTATTTATCAACATCTATTACTAGAGATGACAAATTAAAAATGATAGAAATAGAGAAAAATGAAATCATCATGATCTCTACAGAATATTATTCAATCTCTTTACTGAATTTCTGGGGTGGTTAAAGTTTCAGCTCTCTGCTGATTCAGGATATGAGATATGGAAAGAAAAACAGTTTCTATTTTCATGATAATCTTTTTTTCCTCCTGAATTTTAATCTATTGAACTAACAAGTTTATTCATTGTTGATATGTAACATTTTTCATAATATTATCCTGATGCTAGAAAAGTAATGAAAGTTTTGGTTTCTGTAAACATGAACATGATAATAATCACCATGATAATGTTAATAATAGTTGAAATTAGAGATTAAAATATCAAAGCTTAAAAAACTGATCAAATGACGCGAGGGTGGATTAAGATTTGCTTCATTTGTGATGATATTGAATGAGAAAACAATGGAAAATGAAACTTCATTTGAATATCTGTTCAGTGTGAAGATATTTCTTGATTTTCATCATGAAATTCATGGGAATAAAAAATACAGAGTAAATAATACCTCATGAGAAAAAAGATTAACATACAATTAAATGTTGATATGAGTCTGATATTAATGTCAAGAGAAACATTTGATATAAATAGCTAGTGAAATTTTTTCATTCCATTTGAAATGAATAACAGTAATAACACTATGAAAATAAAACACTTATGGTGAGAAGAGAAAGAGAGAAAAATGTTTTATCATTTTTTGAAATTCCAAATGAATATTTAATAAAATGATCTCTCATTACCTTTGCATATCCTTTTTCACAAGGTTTACTGCAAACTGATTTAGGTGTTGATTCATCAGCTGATAGAGTCTTTGAAGGCCATTGGAAAGGTTTCATGATAAGTAATTGATTTGAATGTGAGTCCCATGAGCCAACATGATTATAATCATAAGTACCATCGGATAGACGTTGAAAGTTCATTAGATCGTAGCGACCTGGAGGATCACCCATTTCATTGAATGAAACTGTCTCGTTGTGCCAAAAAAACGAAACATTAAGTAAATGATGAAGGAAAATTGACCCATTAACGGGAAGCATCGCTGGACATGAGTTGGTCGAGTGTGGACATAACTTTTTTTGCATATTGTGTAGACCATAGGCCATTGTCCAGATCGATTTTATCACAAAGGCCAATTTAGCATCTTGCTTATAACGATCACGTAAAGTTTCATTGCCTAAAAAATGGTAAAAAAAATCAATTGTAACGATTGGGAAAATCAATGGATATCAAATTAAAGAGTCATGATTGATTATTTTCAATTTAGGTTGATTGTTGTTGTCTGGGTAGTTGAATTTTCATGTTTTATTTGTCTGAATAAGATGACATATCGATTGTATTAATTAACAAAGTAATTAATCATTATTCTAATTACCCAATTTGCTGAAAATGATATTAATTTACATTGACTATCAACCTTGTGAAAGAAATGATAACAATTAACAGATATTGTCTGATTACCTCTATTAGCTAAATGTTAATCTGCTCATCTTCCTGATAATTTGAATTGCTAAGTTGTGTACAGTTTACATTAATAATTATACTAGAAAATTGCGCCAATGGTTGAGCCAAACTAAAAGGCTTCTAGAGCATATTTATAAACGAAGCTGAGTATTTTCTGTGATCAGTTAATCAAATTATCTCGGGAATGAGTAGACAGAGAGATTTGAACTTACCTGAACATTGTCTATTGTATGAAGGGTTGGGTTCAAAGGGCAGTTGAAGAGCTGGTTGTTGAGATGATGAAGATGAGGATGAGGGAGAAGTTGATGTTACATCTTTAATGTGTTTAGATGTCAATGAACAGTTGAATTTAAATTCCCAGAACTCTTTGAACCAGGGATTTCGAGTATTATTATCAGGGTGAAGATTGAAATAGTAAGGGTCAAATTCAGTGACATAAGGTGAATGAATTCTGACTGAGATTCCACCAGAAGCTTCAACCTCGTAACCTTCAACGATATCATATCTATCAGCCCAACCATCACTAACGATAATCGGAAAGGAGAAAATGTTAATCTGGTTCAGAATTAATCTTATTTACTTTTGATCCAATTGTTATGGTCAAGATGATTATCTGAACTTTTTTATTCAACTAACCGGTTTAAAACATTGAACAGCTACCTTGTATTATATAAGCATAATTGAATTTCCTATTACCATGGAACCTGAACTTTCATGTTGTTGAAACTTTTTCAATTTGTTTAGCTGATTCAATTAAACTATTGATAATTGAATTAAATCAATTAATAACATCAGTAACGGTAGTGAGTATTACTATTTGATCATTTTGGAAATATCATGAAAATGTAATTACCTCATTATCTTATTAGATTTTTTTCATCTCTATTACCATGGACTGAAAATTCAATTGATGGTTGTTAAAAAGTCAATGAGAAAAGTTCAGAGCTAATCTTGAAATTGGTTCTGAACGGTTGAGAAATTCAAGAAAACTTTCATCATGCATTCAACTGAATTGCTCTTTTTTATTATCTAGTGAGTTTACTCATTAAATCTGAATAATTTTGTTGCGAAACTTACCTTCCAATCATCAAGAACTTTCCTGTAGCATTGAGCCTTCTAATGGCCTTCAGAATACCTCTGACAGTCATACCCTCACAGAAACAAGCGACAACTTTGACCGATTTTATTTGAAGAATCGAAGTTACAATTTCGTCAAATTTTTCATCTTCAGCATTGTTGGTCACCACTTCGGTGTTGGCCAAGCAAACGCCGACATCTTGGGCTAAATTTTTGAAAATCTCCATCAATGAGCTTCCATAGTTACCTGTCAATCATTGGTGAGGTTTGAAACAAGAATATGAATAAGTATTAAAGATGAGGAATTGAGAGCTAAAAGTTTCGTGAGAAAATGTTATTCATAAGAAATGTTAGAAATTTTCTATCGCGAATAACAATCTTCAATAACCATTCAGAATTTACACCTTCCACTCATCATCTTTCTTGATGATGGTGGGAGTGACAACCTCTGAACTTCATAGTTTGTATTTCATGAGAAACAATTGAATGATATGGTGGCAGAAAAAAACAACCGATTTTTCCACCAAAATTTCATGTCATCTTCATCATGCTCTCCATCAACTTCACTAATATCACTACCATCATGAAGTGTAAGAGAAAGATAGAAATAATCGAAACCTCTGATAAGAAAAGGAACAAAATTTTCATCCTTATCTACTCATTTGATGATAATATTAATAAAAAATTTACTTTTAATATAAAAACCGCAATTTTTTATCCTCAATTCATGAGGATATTTAATAAACCAGATAATAGATTTAAACACAAAAGATGAATGAACAAGAGTCTCACTGAAGGTGAGAACGATAATGAGGAGAGAGAGGAGAATATGAATAAAAGATTAACATCAGATGAGAATGTGGGTGGAAATAAAGTGTTATCATGATACGTCGAGGAAGAAAATCATTTGCGAATGACATGAGAATCTATTATCTTTTCGTCTTCCTCGTCTTTCTATTGATATTATAAGCGAGATAAATGGCAAATAATAGCAACACTCGCTGTGAGAATCAATGATAACTTTTCGTGGTAACTATGGTTACCAAAAGTCAGAATTTTCTCTTTCAGTCTGTTATTTTATTAGATTTTTTTGCTACATCTTTTCTCTCTCTTTGCATGTGTGAAACTGAGCTCTTGATGATAATGAATTTTTTTTCTCCCTTTTCTCAAAAGTTAAGAAATGAAAAGAAAATTTTTTCATTATAATTGCATTAACTTTGCTTTCTCTCTCCCTGCTCATGCAAATACGATAGTTTCCAACTTGAGTAAAGGTAAATATTTTCTCATCGGTATCATTTATTAATTTAGAGAACTTGTTAAGTCTCTCTTGATGAACATTCATGTTTAGTGAGAAGTTATGATTTCTAATGAAAAATGAAAAGTTCCAAATATTATCAGACTTTTTCTTGAAACTTTTTTCGAATCCTTTTAATCATATCTACTCTTCTTGCTGTTCGTAAACTTTGAATTTTTCCAATTTTCTGTTGCCCAAAGGAGTAATCGCTCCTCTATCTAACCATCTCTCTTTCTCATGTTTTCAGCCTTTTCTTTCCTTCCAATGAAAATCCTTTCCTTCCACTCATGGAAAGTTCAGTTTCAATTGAGCAAGAAGGCAAAGAAGCCTCAAGTTATATCTGATTTTGAAACTTTGACTATATTCAAACACTTGAGACATTTTGATCACAATTTTGACTTCATACATTTTGAACACATGAAAAAAATTAAACAACTTGTTCAACTCCCGGTTATCAGGTAGAGTTTCTACTATTTCATTTATTCAGCGAAATTTTGAGATAAATTCTCTTTTGGTGTATCTCCGTAATTTCTATAGTAACTTTTGTCTTTATCTTCTCAGGTAATATCATGAAATCAAGCTGAGTTTCATAGAAAGCTTGAAAAAAGAATAACTTAAAATGACAGGTTGGGAGGGGAAGTGGGAGTTGGTAAATGTTTTGATAGATGATGCTGATGATGATAGTAAATGATATTTGACCTTTTTACCAGTTTAAAAACCTGTAAGATATTTCAACTGAACCATGATGAAAATAGATAATATCAGGAAAGGTATAATATATATGAGGTGAGCAGGATAATTCAAGAATATGAAGGAAAAAAGAGAAAGGCAAAACTATCATTTAGTTTCATCTTCATCATGTTGTCATTTCTCTCCATGATATTTTCTATTTATTTCTTCTTCATATTTATTTTCCTTCCTGAACAAACAAAAATCTTCAAAGAAGATGAGAAGAGAGAAAAAGAGAAAAAGTGAGAGAGTTATTTTTTTTTAAATTAAGAAAGAAAAATGAAAAACTATCAAACATTTCAAAGGTAATCGAAAATTTTTTCAAAAATCTTGGGTCAAAGAGCATCATTTCCGTTTCCCTTTACATCTTAACGATAAAAACGACAATTTTTACGCTTGACTTTTACTTGTCTCATCTGGACACTGACACAAGATAATTAATCACCAGATATGATTAGTGTGACTTACCATCAGTGTAAACAGCTGATATATATGTCCAGTTATTTTGAGTAATTAGGTCAACCATCACTTTGGCCTGAAGTTCATCAGATGGAACCACCCTCAGGAAATACATGTAATGACTTTTCAGACTTAAATCTTTACTTGTAGCAGAATAACCGATCTGGGGTATTGCAAATAACTGTAAAAGGTTTTGTACCTAAAGTCGTGAGTAAGAAATTATGTAAATCCATCACATCATCAATCCAATCATGAGCCAGAATTTTCAAATAGCAACATGATTAAAGATGCAATCAAATTGTTAATATATTTGTGTGTTAATAGCCATGAATATTTGGTGACAGGGAATCATTAATTTTTGACAAATGAGTTTACATCCATTGTATTCAGATGATGATGATGAAAACAGATTGATGATAATTATTATCATATAACCAAATATGAGCATCCAAAAGGATATCATGATAATGATAATGATGATGATAGGAATTAGTCATTTGTTTATTTGTTGGGATGTTGCATGTGTTGTTATTGTTTTTGATGATATTATCATCGTCATCATGAATGTTATCATGTTAAACCAAGTGAAAAGTTGATGAAGATGAAGATGATGAGGATAAAAAAGAAAGTAGAAAAGGAAATTATCATAAGTCTTCATGTTATGGTAATAATTATTTATAGCATTTAGTTTGTGTGCTGGTTAGATAATAAAGATGAGCTTTGAAAACGATTAATGAAATTTTCTGGGGGAAATTAATTATACACATTAGATAAAGACTTTTAGATAATATGAATCAGAACTTTTGAATAAACATCATGATTATAACATGATAATAGGTTTTGCTTGACTCACCTTTCATCAGGTGATTATATAACTTAGTGTTTACTTTGTTAATTATCATCATCTTGTGAGTGATCATAATATCACTTATTTATTATCACTTTGAGTTCATTATTTTTACCATGTTACCTGAATTAATCATCATGTCATTGTATTATTTTGACTTTCGATTACAATTCAATGGACAAAGAGGACTTATCGTCCTTATTATCGTCCTCGTTTATCAGAGTGATACCTTGATGATAACATTATCATGATGATTCTTGAACATGTAAACGGTTCTAGGAAAACTAAGTGATCTTTATTATTATTTTTTTCTTGCTTCCATGATAATATCATGAAACCACTTGGAAGGAAAACTTTTTTTTCATCTTGTTTCTCATTCTTTATGAAAGAAAACAATTTAAATCACTCAACCATTTATATCTTGAGCTGAATCTTTACTATCTTTTACTCACAATGATTTCCGCGACATGAAGATTCTCAGAGTCACCATGTATTTATGTGCTTCTTGACAGGAATGTTCAGTTGACGCAAGTAAACAAATAAATGGATGAAGGTGAAGACAAGGTGGGAACCAAAGTGAACAGACTAGAAACCAGAATACAAAAGGATTATGAGGGAATCGGAGTCACTGAATGAACTCAAATCTGAGTTCAGTTGTATATATAGAATCGTCTATGAATCATTTGTATGCACGGTGACATAAATATTGCTTGAGAGAAAGAGTTTGAAAAAAAACCTTGATTCTATTTCAATTTCCTTATTCACCCTCGAGGTATTTTCCATGATTTTTTACTATTTTCTTCTTTTTCATTGTCTATCATCATTCTCATCTACTGATTAGACTTAAAATCCAAGCTACAGTGACTTAACCCTAGTAAAATCTTTGAATAAATTTCAAGTTCCTGAACCAAGTAAACTCAGTTCTAACATGTAGATAACCAGAATATCATGATAACATAATCTTTCAACGATTGAATAAACTTTGAGTAAAGAAAAACACATGGAAACTTTTGGAAAAGAAAATTAAATTCCACATGAACTCAAGGTATTACTCTGAAAACGATAAGCATCATGATTTTATCATGAATATAATGGAAGAGAACTTTGCATCTTTCAACATTTTCCTCGTCCAGATAGATACGGTTCTTTTTTACATGAGTAAATGAAAGATAATTTCAGAATATGATCATCATTTTGATACCTGTGAGATTAACCTGTTTATCCTTTATCGTTATCATCATCATCTTTATTCATCTCATTTCATTCATCCATTTTCATGAAAAAACTATTCATTTTCTATCATGGAAGTAAAAAAGAAATATACAGGGTGTTTTTAATTGAACTCCCGGATTTTGACATCTTATAAAAAAAACCTCGTGTGTTTAAATAATTTAAATTTAATACCATCAGATAGACCTTATCTAGTTGCACTAAGGCCGCAAGTTCAGAGGTCAAAAAGGCGTGGTTTCAGAAAAAAGCGCGAGAAACGAAATTTTTTGCATCGCCGAAAATTTGGCCTCAATTTCTGAACTTAAGTCCAAAAAATTTTTTTTTATATTAAATTTGTTCACAAAGAAAGCACCAACAATCGTGCTATCTTAGTTTTTATATTAGAACTCACAATTGGCTAAAAATCGTTTTTTTCTCTAATTTTTCCAAAAAATGAAATTTTCTCCCTATCTAATCCCATTGCAATAGCGGAGATAGGAAATTTTTTTTCGTCAGTTTTTTCGGTCAATTGATTTTGTGAATGGGCTAACATAGAAAATGAATTAACTAAATTCAACATCGAGCTTTCGACTAAAATAAAAATCAAGTCTCTAAATTTATTACCCAAAAAGTTATGAGTGTTCAAACGTCGGGAGTTCAATTAAAAACACCCTGTATATTCCATTACATTCATGATCTTTTAAATATGAAACTAACCAGATTCTATTGGAGTTAATAATTTACCAACAAAGATTAGGATCAAAAGATTAACATGAACATCAGCCTGTTCATGTTGAGCACTATCATGAACATGAATCGGAATGGTATTAATGAATAGAGAAGAAAACAGAAAAGTGAATAGATTGGATTCTAAGCCTAAAGAAAAAGACTTAATTTGCCAAGAAAATATCCATGAACAAGGAAAATAAAATAGGCATAATTGAACAAAAAGAAACAAAAATTTCGAGAATTGAAAAGTTCCAAGTTCCCGATAAAATGGTGTAAATAAACCAGAATAAGCTACTTGTGATAAAATGATTGATGCTTAAAGCTTATTGTTGTTTAACCTTAATTGGCTTCATCTTGTCAGGTTACCTTTGATGAATCAGGTAATAAATTCAATAAGCTTACATGAAAAGAAACAACAACAGCATAAGAGAAAAAAAACTCAGAACTTTTCTGAACTTTGAATAGAACTGGTTTCATGAAAGGAATCATGAAAAGGGATAACATGTCGAACGGAAGTAGACTAAACCATACAAGATGATTTACTTAACAATCATCGGGTTGGTTATGTTCATTATCCATGTTGATTATCAGAGAAAAGTTAGATAGAGATATATATATATATGTATATATTCCCCTGAAAAAGAGTATAATGGATTCTGTGAAATTGGAGATGACAGAACTTTTCTCTTTGTTGAGAAAGATTCCAACTCGATTCATTCTACCGAACTAATTGTTCTTTCCGTTGTAATATACTGATCTTTTCGTTTCTTTCTTTTAACATTATCTCATCTTACCCTTCCTAGAATCGAAGATAGTTATCATCATTATCTCAATCATGTAGCAAAAATATTAATTTGAAACGAAAACGAATCAATGAAATTATCTCATAAAGAAAAATGTTCTTAGGTAACAAACTGGAAGATAAATTTCTAATGAATACCCTCAATGAACTGATTTACACGTTCATTATTAAAAAAAACCATTCTTATCAATGGATTATCAATGGTTATCCTTTAATGGTTATAATAACTTTCCCTCTTTTCATTTTTCTTTGATAACTACTACTTATCATCATGATTATCGTTAATAACAGTTTATATTTACAATCAATGGTAATAATTGAATCAGCGTTAAGATTTTATTGGAATGATGATCATAAACCAGAATCAAGCTGATGATTCAGTTTGATTATTTATCATCATGTATCGTTTATTTAGAGTAAATATAATAACATTCAATCCTTTCCTTTTCTTTTCCTTTGTGAAAATATAATGAAAATTAGGGAGGTGAAAGTCTCATGAGAAATACTGATTATCGTATCTGTGGAAACTTAATCATGTTTCATGAAGCTTATCATGATGATGATCATAATTATTTGTCATGAAAGGAGAAAGAGATTGTTAATTCAATCATTACTATTTGGTTTTTTTTTCATCTTCTCATTTTAGCTGTTACAAGTTCATTTCAAACTATTCGGTTGCATTGAAATTCATGTCATCATCATGAAACCTTTTCTTTTTCAATAAAAATAACATTTCAAGACAGAACTTTTTTTCCTATTCTCTTGAAGAATGAAAAATAAACATCATATAGTGAACAAGGGCGGGAAGATGGGGAGGATAAATTTTACAAGTGATGAAGATGAAAAAGAGAACCAAGAAAACAAATATATCTCCATCATTTTGTATCCAGTTAGAGATAAATGATGAAGATGTATAAACGATGATAAAGATGAGGATGAGAGAGAGAGAGAGATTTAAAATTGTGAATCTCTTTTCTAATATAATGATTACCATTAAACGTTGCTGTGAATCATCAGGGAGAGATATTGAAACGAGGAAAAAGAAAAAAAAGTTCTGAACCAAAGATATAATGTTACACATACTTTGAATATCATCCGAGCTCTAGAATGGAAACTGAAAGAATCTGAGCATGATGATGACTAGGAAGATAGAAGAGGAGACAGAATTTGTTATTTAGTCGGTTAACAAGTAACATTAACCATGAATAGAAACGTTTCCCTCTCACGATTCGTATTCATGTTTATCATTTTCATTCATCGTTTTCTACTCTCTCCTCTTCATCTTACCAATCGTAACTTTCAGCATTCTTCAAAACTTCATGTTCTTTTTAATGTTATTCTTTAATAGTAACACATCGGTAGGAGAACTGAAATTCTACTATGAATTATGTCCTTATTATATTTCACTTTATTATTATTCGATTCATCTACTTGCTTTTCAACGAATATCAATCTCATCATCAGAACTTTTTTCTCCTCTCAGATGAGAGTGAATAGGAGCAAGAATGTTTTTATAAATTTCGAGCTTCATCTCAAATTAAATGCCAAAAATTCTGAGTATAATAAACATACATATTATTGTTATCCATTGGATTTTATGTGTGTCTAGTTA